CTCAAGTGGTGGCTGCCCAGCTGCCCAGGGCCGCCCAAGACTCAGGTAACCAGGGCCAGCCGAGGCTTGCGCTGCCGGCAGTGGCAGCAGCAGAGGTGTGATTGGGTGTCACCTTCTCCTGATAGTTGGGTTGCCTCCCACCCCTGAGGTCTCCTGGACTGTGAAAGGGGGCAGGCCGGGCTGAGAGACCCCCCCTCAGTGCATGAATTTTCATGCACTGGGCCTCTAGTCTATTATGAGTCTCCAGATTAAGTTGAAAAACTCCATGGCAGATATTGTTTGCCACTACCATAAATCATTTTAAATCCTATTTTAAATGGTGTTTCCAATTCTTAGATACTGTTTGTTCTAGTTAACTCTGTATTATTCCTTCTGAATGCATGTCAAGTATTAGTAATTTAATGTATTTTCTATAGGGTATCTCTCTGATTCCCTAGAATTTTGGGTCCATTAGTTTTTCATAATTCTGCAAAAATAAATTTATATCAGCATTCATCTCCATTAACTACAAATTTGGCTCACTTGAGCTATTTAGCTATGACCCAAGTAGGTTTAGGCACTCCTCTTTCATTATTGACCTTCTCAGTAGTCTGTTTCACATTATTGAAAAATCATCAAAAATGGTGTGAAACTGTTCTTTGCATTTACTGATCTTACCATCAGATTCTATAGATAGAAACTATCTCTATGTCCAGCCATATGGTCTAGCATGGTTCCTAGGTAATTGTTCTTCAGATCTTTTACTACTAACAACTTCAAGATATGGGGGTTATAAAATAAAACTTATGTAATGGGTTGTGTCCTAGCTTTTTCTTTATAACTTATGTCAAAATAATATAATATAGTCTGTAGATTAATTGGAAATCTAGCCTCACTATAGCAGGAAGACAAGCTTCTGCTTTCCATGCTACAGACCTGATTTTACTCTCATAGTTCTTGAGCATCCTTAACAAGGAGCTGCAATTGTTGGCTAAATAGTTTTTGAATGAATAGCTCAATATTGTCCTTCTTTTTAATAGATACTCTTTGCATTCAGATGGGTAATACAAATAACTACATTCAGTAAATTAATTCATATTCTTTGAAGGTTTCATTTGTATCCTATTCATTCAAGGGCCCATTAGGTTGAAAAATAGCTCAAAATCTGGCATTTTATGAGACATACTAAAGTAACTTTTACAACCTTAGTAGTCAGTTGGTAGCTTGTACTTTAAAAATATTACTATCCTGAGTATTCTTTTTCTTTCATCTGTAGCACAGATTTCTTGCTTGCTGTCTATTTCTAAAGCTAGAATAGCCATCCATTTTTGGCAAAATGAAGTCTGCATATTTGGGATCTAAAGCACATGGATCTCTTTTGGGTCAAATGCACAGGACACTTATACTCGAAACACTGACAGTTTCGCTACTACTTATTCTTTCAACAAATCCTATATAATAAAAGGGTAATATGAAAATTGACCCTATCAGCGGAATGACCAGTCGCTATGACACACACTGACCACCAGGGGGCAGACGTTCAACCCAGGAGTGGCCCCCTGGTGGTCAGTGCATTCCCACATGGGGAGCTCCACTCAGCTGCTGCGAGCGCAGCAGCAGTGGCGGGAGCCTCTCCCGCCTCCACGGCAGCGTTAAGGAGTCTGACTGTCGGAGATCCCCTGAGGACTCCCAGACTGCCAGAGGGATGTCTGACTGCCAGCTTAGGCCTGATCCCCCAGGTAGCAGGCCTAAGCCAGCAGGTGGACATCCCCCGAGGGTCCCAGACTGCGAGAGGGCACAGGCCGGGTTGAGGAACCCCCTCCCTCTCGAGTGCATGAATTTTTGTGCACCAGGCCTCTAGTAGTTAATGAACACCTAATTCACAAAATATGCTATATGTTAGAGAGAATGTTAAGATGAATAAGGTATTGACCCTTCTTTGCAAAAGTTTATAATGACATCAAATTATTTCTAGAACTAGGTATAGATAATAAGTAAATATAGTAAATCCTTTCAAATATGTGTTAGTCAACAGAATTTATTTATTTTAGCATAAAAAGCATTGTGTTCTGGTTGAAGCATTAGTCCTATATTTTTGTCTCCTTCCTTTCTAATTTTTGAAGATCTTTCTTATTTTTCTAATACATGTAGATTGTTGCTTCTTTCATGAATCATGCCAATTTATTTTTTGTAGTGTATGTTTGGGCAGCTTTTAGCATGTTATTTGTTTGTGTCTTCTGATATTTTTCCTTAAATATGTATTTTTTTTTACTATACTGTTAATTACTTTGGTTATATAATTCCTTGATACTTTGAGCTCTAGGGAAACAAATGATGTTTCCATCATTTTATGTTCTCTAGAGTCCATCAATACTCCTGGCTGGACAGTAAAATTTACTTAGTTAATTTGGTGCTATTTACATGAAATTGTTTTCCCATACTTTCGTTGCTAAAAATTTAGACACTGAGTAACACAATAGATACAGTGAAAGAAGATAATTCTTATAGAATTATCAGAAATTTTAGAATCTTCTAATAATGTTTCCATCATCCTCATTGTTGGATTGTAACACATAAAAGTCAGTCACAGAGGTTCTCAAAGTTGGTAAATGTCTGGGAGGGCCAGTACAGTGAGAAGATAAAGGGTGTGACTTTAAGTTGCTTTATAAAAGTATTATAGCAATACTATGCATGTGCTTAATAAATAACACTGACATTTCTTTGACTTTTTCCCTCAGAGGTGACATTGTGATTGCAAAAAGTCCAAGTGATCCAAAATCAAATATTTGTAAAAGAGTAATTGGTTTGGAAGGAGACAAAATGCTCACCAGTAGTTCATCAAGTTTCTTTAAAAGCCATAGTTATGTAAGTAACAATTTCAGTTATGTTATTAATAGTTTATTAACATTAATTGAAAACATAAAAGAATATGACATCTATTTTGAATATAACTTAAAGTGCTGTATTCAGTGGAATTTAAGTATGTTTGTATGAAGAATCATTTGGCCTTTATATGTTTTAGTTCTTTTTAAAACCCTATATCAATATCTCAGTAATAGTTGTTGCAAGCAAGATTCATCAATAGATATCAAAATATTGGGTAAAATTTTGAGGGAAAATAGTATTTTGCATACTCTCAAAGTATCTCTCCCAAGATATTTATTACAAAGGGAAAAATAGTAACTTCGCAGAGGAGACCCTGGCAGTCACCACCTGTACTGAGTGATCAAGGTTAACTTCACCAATTACAAGACAGATCAACATGGTGCAGCCCCTGAATTGAAGAACTGAGAAGGGCCCATCACTTTTGTGGTATTCTTGCAAAAGGGTATAACCTCAGTCTAATCATGAGAACAGCAGACAAACTCTAATTGAGTTTCATTCTGCAACATTACTGACAAATACTCTTTCAAAATGTTAAGGTCATGAAAAACGAGGAAAGACAGGAATTGTAATAGATTGGAGAAGACAAAGGAGACGTGAGTGACAACTAAATGCGGTCTGGGTTCCTGGCTCAGAAACTTTTTCGATTAACTTATTAAAGGAAAAGCTGGTAAAAATCAAATAAAGCCTGTAGTTTAGCTTTTTAAAATCCTATTTAAGTTTTTAGAATATAAAATACATGTACTTTTTGTATAGTCAATTTACCAGTTAGAAAGATAGAGCAAGAGCAGAATGGAAGAGTGAGGAGCAGGTATAATGTGTTACCTCCTTTCACCAATCACATGGCTGATAGGGCAGCTTATGGCAGAGGAGGTGGCCTTACTTTACTCAGCATATAAATTTTTCTACCTTAATAATTATAACTTAATTTCTACTTCCATTTAAAATTTCTGTGTCACTCTCAAGTTATTATAGCTGTTACATCTATTAACTAACTACCTCTATCTTCATCCCCAATGTAAGTATGGTATTAAGAGTTAAATTGTCTTCATCACTGTAAATTTATTTTGTACTATAATGGCCTCTTTCTTCTCTATGAGTAAGTTTGATTAATTGACTATTACATAATCAGTCCATTTATTTACCATCCACAATAGACTATGGGTCAGCTGTTCAAATATTTTTGATGTTTATTACTATAATGTTAAACACACTAGTGATTGTTAGCTGATGGTGATAATAATGAAGATAGTATGGTATAAGGTAACCTATTTTTCTTTGGACTGCATGAGGGACACTGTACACTGTATCCTTTTATTCTTAAAAAATGTTAGATTTTTACATAATGGTTGCACCTTCATATGACTGCTATCATTTCTTGAGGCTTTGTAATCACTTCTGAATTGCTTCAGCAAGATAAATTTGAAACCAGAAATAATTTGCAGTCAGAACAATAAAACATGTTAATATTACTATCCAGAATCTGTGTACTTAAATACCACAACATTGTTGTTTTGTTTTTGAATTATCAGAGGAGGAGTATCAGGACAAAAGGATTTAGATAAAATCTCTGCTAATCAGAAAAGACAACCAGAGGACTGTAAGATGTAGATTTTTTTGAATATTCTATTTAACGAAAACATTCATCAAATTTTTGTGTTTGATGAGTGGATTAATTAGAGGACACTAGTATATAGTTCCTGGTGTATTCCATTCACTTTGGTTTGTATGTTTATAAATGTACAAACATAATTGTAATAATATTGACCAATACTTATGTATTTAAGCTGTACAATACACTGTTGAAACTCTTTTACAATGGTTAATTTATTTAATCATCACAACAGCAACACAGAGAGATAGGAGTGGTAGTATTTGACAGATGGAAAAACTAAAAACAGGGTGGTTAAATAAATTGCCCAGTTCATGAGACAAATAGTTGGAATTCAAACACAAGTAGCCTGGCTCCACCCAGAATCTGGACGCCTTGACATGCCACTACTTCTCCCAAAATATCCTTTACTTGTTTATTTCTACTCCCATCTCACAAAATTGTACTTTCCTTAAAATGTATTGTCTTTATTTTTAAAAAGAAAAGTAACTGTTTCCGTTCAGGGGCAGTATTGATTCTGAAAGAGAACCCAGTGAATTTTGAAGGTTTTTTCATCCCCACCACTTTTTCTAGACTGCATTTTTCAAGCCATAAGAATTGTGTAGCTATTACAGAACCACTTTAGCAAATGTGTTCCATTAATCAAGGTGATTTATAACAAAAAAATCATCCAAGTTTGGAGCACTCTGAAGAGATATCCAAACTGTTTGCAGGGTCTGCCCCTCTAGAGTGTTCCCTTTTCCCGCTATCTCAAAAGCACACTGGTGCTGTATTGTATGAAATGGGTTTCTTCCCCTACCTATGCATCCTCTTAGAAAAATTATTGTTGTTTATTAGATGAAGACATTATTATTCAGATCTTGATTGAACTAAATGGTAAAGATGATGAATATTAAAAGTGTTTTGAATTCCAGGCAAAAAAACATTTATTCCCTAAGTATATGCTTCAGAGAGCAAAACACCAAAATTGTCATTTGGAACCTAGAATATAGTTTAGCATATGAAAGAATAGCATTGTTCCCAAGTTGGCATAAAATAATATAAACAGATCATTGGTTAAGTGAAGTGGAACCATTTTATTCATTCCAGAGTTCTAAAAGTCCATGTGGCAAGCAACACTTAGGAACTATGATTTATTTTTTACATTAAGCATTTGGAAACAAAGCAGTTCCTATCAAGGTTCTATTGCAGTGGGTTTTGCAATATAAGCTAAGATAAAGCTTAATTTGTGACTCTCAAAAGAAACAAATTGTACTCAGCTTAAACATCTTAAATAACTTACCTTCCTATACTATAGCAATTTCTCAATTTGCTGCTAGAAGCTTCTAGTTTGCCAAAAATAATTAGTTGCAAGGAGAAACATTAAGCAAATCAGAAATAAATAAAATGAATTGGCATGCTCCTATTGATTTGCATGTTAGGCAAAGTAAAAGCCTATTTAATGTAGGGGATTTGGGCCAGGACTCAGGAAATGTAGTAAAATTTTGTTATAAAAGCTAATGAAGAGACGAAGAAAAATACTTTATCTTTCTGAGGTTATCCACTGGTTATTCTAGTCTTCATAGAAGATTTGAAAGATAAGCTACTTCCTTGGTAGGGCTACCTGACCACCCTCAAGAATCGCAAGTAAAAGTTTTAGAAAATATTGGGATGTCCCTGATACTTTGTACCAGGACAGCAGAGTGCTGACTAATGTGTCTTTCCCCAAGTGACTTTTATTTGGAGTGAATGATATTTTCCAACCCTTTTTACTAAGCAGACTAAAAATTCACTTGGTTTTGAACTGACCTATCAGTTCAGAACAGTGTGAACTAAATCTTTTAAAGTAATGTTAAAATTGACCTACCTTGCTCTTATTTTAAGGGAAGGTTTGGTTGTCAGAAATGCTATGGTGGTTTTGTTATGATGAAGGCTAAGTTGCCCTTGCAAAATGCAGCACCTACTAATTACATTGTGAGCTAATAAGAGTTGTCTACATTTCAGTAGAAATGCATGTGCCTTTTGGACATTATTAACTACTATACAGGTATTTTGTTATTTTGATCCTTTATTGGTTGGCATATTAACAGTGGGTAAAGTTGTTCCTTGTAGTTGGTAAATTGCTCCTTTGAGTGTTAACTGTAAACTGAATAATCGATTTTTAAATCTTCCAAAATTAAAATATTATTGAATTTCAGTTTCTCAACCATAGCAGCCACTCTGTATTGAAAATGGAAACACTAATAGAAATATGATTATGAAGATTTCAGTATGTTCCTATAGTTAGATCATAATATTTTGCTATTGTTAAAGAAAACATGTTTGTAGTTATTAGAGTGTATATTTTTACTCTTATTATCAACCTATTAAAATTTCATACTATAGTATTTAAAGCTTTTCGGTTCTTGATACCATATATTCCAGTGTTATACACAAAAGGTGAAATATTATTTACCAAATGTTAGTCTGTTACCACAGAATGGTAGTACATGAATAAGGAATGTAGTATTTCTTACCTTTTTTGTATTATAGAGTATGCTAATAACATTATTGTTATTGGTGGAAATGTAAGAAATAGAGACAGTTTCACATTTCAGAAAAAACTGATTAAATGTTCCCAGGATGCACAGGTAATAGTGTGTTCTGAAAAGGAACACTTGGAAATGGGACAATATGCCAGTAATAAAACTGTTTTATAATTTATTTGAAAATATTTAAATAAAACCAATTAACAAAGTGAAAAACAAGCTCATTAATTTGACAGCATTAGAAAATGGTCACTGGGGTGGATAAATGGTGATGGAAGGAGACTTGACTTGGGGTGGTGAATATACAATACAATGTACAGATGATGTATTTTAGAATTGTACACCTGAAACTTATATAATTGAATTAACCAATGTCACCCCAATAAATTCAATTAAAAAAATAATATGGCCACTTTATATAGTTAATACTAATAGCCCCTTAATGTGCACTGTGTATTTAGGTTATAGTTCAAATCCTTGAATATCTTAGTGCTGTTTTTCTGTTTGTTTAAATGTCATTTACTTCAGCTAAAAGTCACAACCATATGGCCTTCTATTACCACTTATATTATAAACAGAAAAAGTACTTCTGTGTAGGGAGAGGAATCAGGAGATTGAAAGCTTGTTTATTATAAGCTGCTGATACACTAAATCCTTATGTCACTTAAATAGAAGAACTACCTAATAATGTCACTTATTACAACAAGGATAGCTAAACAAGGGACTTGCTTTTTGCAGACTATAGTGATAAAAACCTGTGCTACACATCCATTTCTCAGCAACGGCTCCCAGGTTAATCAATCATGGCATACTGCTAATGTCTTGATTGCAGCTGATGTGGAGGAAATATGTTTACTCTTTTG